TTAATACCAATTCACTGCCAGCTGCCCTTTTGCCTGTCAATGAGAGGCTCCATGTCAGCATGTGTAATTTCATGTTTTCTACAGTTTTGAGCATGCACCTGGAACAAAGCCTGTAAAGTGAGCCCCCACTCTAATCCCTGACTCACTCTGTCATCATCAGTAATCACATTTTCATTATGAGGCACTTATCAGGAATGAAAAGCCACACTGTAGTGTAACAACTCTGGGCTCCACCATCTCCAGCTTGTCTTTACATGATCCCCATTACTGCAAGTCATTTACCAAAAATGTTGAAGTTTGGTCATAAAAACAGTGTTGCACCATGTGCAAAAAGTCAGTAGGGTTGGGAATTGATAAGATTTTCACAATTCTGATTCCCTTATCGATTCTGTCAAACGATTTGATTCTCTTATCGATTCTCATCACAGTAATCTAAATCTAATGGAGAAGGCATCTGTTTAATGAAAAAGCGTTACTGTACAATTTCGGCAAATAAACTCATCTCCCCCTGATTTAAATAAACGAACATCAACTTTCTCTCTCTCCCTAAACTGCAGAGCAACTTCATAGCATGTTTCGTTACATCCATTGCAATAGCTAGAATCGTGTAAGAATTACAGCTACCAGTAATGAAGGGCTGGATTAACGAGAAAGGCACACTTCCTTAATAACCCCAAAGAGAGGTAGGAAATTGGTTTATTTTCAGAAATGGTATATGATTTACTAGGAACCATATTAAGAACAGCCAGGGATGTAAAACTAGCTACTTACCACCAGAGTTGCCTTCCATGCTGGTCATAACTTTAGCTTCTGTCTGGAAGTCATCAAAAAAACAACATTCGTTAAAATGTATGCCATGTTGTGTGGGCAGGTGTTTCTGCACGTTTGATGTATTTCCTGATGTAATTGCCACTTTACAATGATTGCAATATGCCTTGTTGCCAACTTTATCTTCCTTAAAATGAAGCCAAACTTTCTATCGGTTTACCTGATGGGACGCCATTTTTTTGTTTTGCTTTTCTAGACTTACGCCTGGTCATGTCGTACTTGCTTACTGTATGCAGTGTGCGTAACTTGCATAAAAAACATGACATAAGTCATGCTGCCCAGGTGGTGCTGCCTGGAATCGTTTAGAGAATCCTTAAGCGAGCTGCCAAACCGTGCCATGAAATTGGGACACAGGAAACCGCTTCTGAACAGGAAACGGTTTTTGATTCCCACCCCGACCAGTCAGTTATCAGACTAGTAGTGAAGAAAAGTTAAAACGTGTACCTGATAGATTCAAACTGTGACATGCCCAATGATAGATTTAACACGCTTAGGGTCTTTGCTTAAAGGTATATTGGTGGAGGATTTTTTTCACAAACTGTTACACCACCTCCCTCTACACTGCATATATATATATATATATATATATATATAT